TATTGAGTTTCATTTATGTATGAGTAAGCAATTCTGAAACCATTTAAAATGTATTCCAATATACAGTATATATAATTGATGAATTCTTTCTGATTATATGTATTCACTTACATTTGTTATTTTAGTCTGGTCAATTAAATATTATCATTAGCTCTAACTTATTCAGCATAACTCAGAACATGTGTTGGTTGCTAACTAATCAACTATTAAGCTTAGTGATTCTCACTTTATTTTGTAAGATACCTATACAAGTAATGTTGTGCTTGCGCTATTGTTTTATTTGATTTTCATTTCGACACTGTCCTGTATACTTTGTGACATCAGGTAAAGCATAAGATTAGGCTTCGAAGTAAGAAACTCCGTAGTCTAATTGTAATCAATATAATCTGTACTGATATACATTCAATTTATTAGCAATGTTCGGGTAACCATTGAATAACGATCGGATTCAGTCAAATGTCATTGGATTGTTTGGTTCAAGAACAAATTAATTTTACGTAAGGAACCTAATTCATAACGTTTATCTTTGTAGGTGTACAAATCATTGTTTTGTTTAATTTCAACGATAAATGAATATATTTTGCTTGATATCATAGTAAAGCACAATTATATGAACGAAGAATATTCATTTCAATAATTTCTTATCAGGCCCTACAATTATATATCCAAATTAATAACCCATAAAATTGGTCAGATTTAGTGCAGAGTACACCATTTAAAATCATACCATGTGAATTAAGGATTGTTTGGAATAGAAAATAAAGTCAAATCGTTAATGTTTAGGTGACTAATATGAAGTGTTAGCTTGAATCAGTTTATAAGTGAAATGAAATTGTGAGATAAGTGATCGGAATAAATATGGTGAACATGGGATGAGAGAGATAATCATGTAATTACAAAACAGAAATTGTGTAATATGTAGAATAATATGAAATAGGCACGAATTAGTGGATAGTGATGGATGCTGAATAAATTTCTCAAAATCAGTAGCAAGTATTTCGGGTAGAACTAACTAGATATAACTATGTCAAGACAACAATGCAGTGTTCAACCAATCGAATCACTCTTGACGGAGAAGATTTGGAGGATGTAAAAACCGTTACATATCTGGGCAGCATGATTGACGAAAACGGTGGATCTGATACAGATGTGAAGGTGCGGATCGGCAAAGCAAGAGCAGCATCTCTACAATTGAGGAACATGTGAAACTCGAAATAATAGTCAACTAACACCAAGGTCAGAATTTTCAATACAAATGTCAAGACAGTTCTACTGTATGGGATGGAAACGTGGAGAACCATGGAAGCCGTCACCCACAAGATACAGGTGTTTATCAACAATTGTCTACGAAAAGTACTTCGGATCCGTTGGCCAAACACTCAGCAACATCAACCTACTGTGGGAGAGCACAAACCGGATCTCAGCGGAGTGGGAAATCAGAAAGAAGCGCTGGAAGTGGATAGGACACGCATTGAGGAAAGCACCCAATTGTGTCACAAGACAAGCACTCACATGGAATCCTCAATGCTAAAGAAGGAGAGGAAGACCAAAGAACACATTACGCAGAGAAGTGGAGATAGACATGAGAAGAATGAACAAAAATTGAATAGAACTGGAAATGATGGCCCAGAACATATTGGGTTGTAGAATGCTGATCAGCCACCTATACTCCATTGAGAGTAACAGGCGTAAGTAAGTAGTGCAATGTTCACTCTCGTTTATTATAGTTGTAATACTTTAATCAGTGTTAGAATTTAGCTGATATGTAGAATACTATTTTGAAGTGTTCTTTATGAATATGTCACGTTCCTCTTTGAAATCAATCATTGACTGCTCAATTTCTTTAAAATTTAAATGTCAACTACTATCCCTAACATTGATTGAAATTATATGTAAGCGTAAAACGGAAGAAGCTCAGTTCATTTTTTAGATTTTCTACCCTGACAACTTTAATATTGTATGTTTCATAAAGTTCTAATGACTTGCCTGATGTGTGCAGTTGAAATCGTAGGCATCACATTTTATTCGATAAAATAAGATGCTTATCACTTTATTCTTGTGATTCACCATCATTCAACTTTCCCTAGCTATTCCAAGAAGTTTCATTAAATGAAGTATTCATAAAATGATCAGAGAAAACCACTGATTTATCAAGTACAACAAGTTCAAGGTAATCGAGTTCGAATCACAACTTTTTATGATGTTCAATGATATTATCCAGTTGACTAAAAAGAAGTGTACATATTCCAAGCTGTGACTTACTGATACTCAGTGACATTCTTTAACTATAAAGGCATTACATTTGGTATGAAATAATTACTCTTCATAATTCTTTTGCTTCTAACCAAAACATTAAAATGATCAATAACATTTTCATATTTCTTAAAGATATTCGAACTATTTTATTGAAAAATACATGAATGTGTTAGTCCTTTAAAATGTCATCTATTTAGAATTAGTAATATTATTAGTTCAATTGTATACAGATCATACATATGGTTCACAGTTACTCTACACACATTGATTGACTTATCTAATAATAATCACATAACTACTATGATTTAGCAATAAATTCTGTTTTGAAATATTCTCATGAATGTTTTAAACAAAAGCAAAAAGAAGAAAAAAAGCGAACAACCAATAGTTGGCTTAAATTTAGTTTTATTAAAACGAACTAAATATTGTTTCTTTATTGATTTCATATTTAATTTCTTATTTATAAAATCGATTAAATTACTCATTATAAAGTGAAAATGACAATATCAAGAGATAAGTAACTGAAAAGAATATCGAATTTAGTTGGTGACTGTAGTCTTTCTACATAACTATCATGAGGAGTCTCAATATTCATTTAAATCAATGAATCAATTTTGTTTTAATTACTTTATTCATTGATTCTGTATAAAAGTAAGAGGAATTTTGTGATTTTAGTAGTACAGTTATAATCAGTAATTTTGATGAATAAATTAAAGTGATTAATGTATTGAATGATAGAATTGATCAACTGGAGAAACATCATCGTCAGAGTGGTTGCTAACAGTGTTATTTTATGCATGTTTGGATTTTTGTTTCTCCTAAAGATAGATGAGAATGTATCACCTTTGAATTTAATATTAATGTAGTATTTTGTTTTTGTATGAATAGTCTAGACTCAATTGGAAATTTTCGCCTTATATTTTTGTGAATAATCTCGGTACAAGTACATTTTAATTATCAGTTTAGGGGTTGTGGAGATTGTTAAGTTTTTAATTGAGATCAGGAACCGATTGATGTTAGAGCACCATTGAAAACCTGGAAGCACTGGACGGCCGTTTCGTCCTATCGTGGGACTTCTCAGCAGTGCGCATCCACGATCCCGTTTGCGGGATTCGAACTCAGGGCCTTCAGTCATTTCTTGAGTAAAATTATTTCCAGAGTGCAGATTCTTCAAGTTTACAGGGGGAGAAATACAATCAAGTTCTATTTTCGACTGATGAGAGCTTACATACAGAAACCTATCAAATGACTGTTCCATTTAGGTTTTTTCTGTGAGAACAAAATTGTTAGAAAACGATTTCTTGGCTAAACGACACTCGTTCCTATGATTCGAAGAACACTTTTCATTCACTTTAAATGCGTATTGAAGTAGTGATTTGATCCATATCATACTTTCAGTGATTTTACTACGACAGTCGATAACTTATGGAGTTATACAATACAGTTATTTATATCTGCCAACTGAACACTTGTATTAATATCTTACGAATTATATTTACAATATAAATGAAAGATTTTGACATATATTCTCAATGTATTGGCTATTTGTGATACGGATTTTGTGTTGCAAGTATAGCATAAGGACGAGCAAGACATAATAGAGACACAATTCTTTGGTTTTTGTGTAAAATTAAAAAATTACGTAAAACGAGTGGTAAAAGTACTTCTGTATGGTATTCAGAACGAAAAATTGCTTTCTATCATCAACGAGTAAAAATGATAGTGTTTAACATATCGAATACTTGATTTTACATAACAAGAAAATCAAAACTAATACTAAATCTTAATCTTAAATCCGGAAACAAACCTTAACCTGATAACGCTAAAATTTATAGACGAACTATTCATATTTACGACGACTCCTATTAGATACTTTCTGGAGGTTCAACCATCTACATGTCTATAAAACATCTCTAAATTATAGCTCACCCAAACGAATTGTTCGTTAATCGAAATCTAATCACAATCCTAAAGACCTAACCTTGATCAAGAACAGTGTGGGTCTCGTAAAATTCTATTTATGTGGTTACAAAGGTTTCGGAATACAAGTAGTTTATTTTCACATCGACGTATTTATACACCGTCACTTCTTCCATTTACAGACAGTGCAACCTGTTGGAAGCCTTAGTAAATTCCCTGAATGTGTAAAATTTGTAATATTATTGTATATTTGCATAACCTATCCAGCTACAGGAACTGTTTTGCTATTGGTCAAGAACTGGCTGGTAACCCTTCTTGATTGTTCTAAGTCCATCTCTATGCTATACTCTCAGCTGTTACCTAACTTGTAATATCTGCGGTGTGAGGTATTGGTGAGGTAACTTTATTGGAACTAATCGAAAGCAGACGTTTTATCGGGTCTTCCTAGAAAAAACTTGCTAGTTATTTTAAATTCAATTTGTTAGTTTTAAAGATGAGCAAACAATTCGTCGATGACAACCTTAGGGTTAAGAAAATGTAATTCAGTCTGCTGGGAAAAGTATTCTAGTCACAGATTTGTTTTAGTAGATAACGGTGAAAAGTCTAAAACGGGAAAAGAAAACTGTAATATTTTTACAACAGTTTTTCAAGTAAAATTATCATTTACAATAATCATCTTCAAAGATTGTAATTCTCTGTGGTGGTTTATACAATTAATAGCGTTTTCAAAAATAAGTAAAATTTGAACTATTAAAATGATTCAACATGAACAAATGAAAGTGAGCATAAGTTGACTGTGATGATCAACTAAGCGTTTTGTGAAATTAGATATGATTTTGTGAACAATGCAATATAGAGTAATGTGTGAGATTGAAACTTGGATCTAATTGTTTACTTGTCATCTCGTTTAAAACTTTCTTCATGATATAATACTCTGTGCAGTCATATGCAATCGGTTCAAAATCATCATGAAACTTATTGGCGAAGAATTCAACTCGTGACGTTATGTACGGAAGGTTGTTTATGCCTATAATGCAAACAATACGGCGCACCCTTGGACTTTTGCAACCTTCATGATACCATGTTACATAACGAGCTATGAAAATTTTCCGTGGATCTGAATGATTAGTAACATGAATTTCATTACAAGCACCAGGGGCACCAAGTAGTGGATTGTGAGTTAGTGTAGGGAAAAATAGTTCATCTGGATGTTTTACTAAGTGTCTTTCTTCTTTCATCGCATTGAGAATTTCGTTTGCTTTTTGATCAGTTTGATAGAAGTGAACAAACTCACGCTTTAATGCCATGTAAAAACTTCCCTTGGTCCAAATAATCTAGGAAAGACAAATGGTTCTAGAGATAATGTTATTGTGACAATATACATGATAGCACACACACACACATGTATATTTATATACGAACAAAGCCGCACAACGATCTATTCATTACAAAAACTTTTCATGTGTTCAATAGGGAACACCTTATCATCTTAAATGAATAAAATGTTTGTTCGAAGTGTAACAATAACAAATTATATTTGTTATGAGTATTATATTAACTTTTTCAATCGATAGTCATTAAATCTAATCGGCTTTTCATAACACTGATTCATTTTATTTGATTTCTTTTAAATTCATCTCTTTAATAGATGTAATTGTTATTTGAAGTGTGCAAAATGTACTACCTAATCAAGCGAAACTTAGTTGCATGTTAATCTCTATATCTAGTGATTTACATCACTTCATTCAGGAATATAACCTCAAATAGACTATAGTGACTATATTAACTGGAGATCAAGGGACAAATTACACATCGAGTTCAATATTATAAAGATTAGTGGTATTCGTATGATACTGATGGTTTTCGCCAAATACTCAGTAGATTACTGACTGCAACATTATGGATTGCATAATTAAAATGTTCACTCTTAAATAATGGGTTTGAAGTCACCATTAACTTGTAAGTTTTATATTTAGGAATTTCAGATTGATCCCCATAGTTTTAATCCGTGCTATAGACTGAAGTGAACATCCGTGAGACGAACGCTGTTTATCCCTTCATATATGTACTTTCCAACTTCACGGAAGGAAGTTAAAAAGAAAATTATTAATTTTACGTCATAGCCTAGTTGCATTGTTCATACGTGGTTATTAATTAAGTTTCTTGGTTATATTCTTCGTGCTTTAATTTAGATTGGTATCCAACTAAAAAATCAACTAGTACTTACTATCTTTTTTTCTATTTCGGAACCTTCCAAGTATTGTATGTGTATAGTGATAACGGGCAGTAGTGATCTATATTCGGCTGTTTTCGGAGCAAGATAGTTATATTTGATGGCATTGTGTAATTTTAACGCTATATTGCCAATTGATTGTAGTTGAGTATATAGACTATTGAGTTGTAATTTGGTGGCTTCAAGATTATGAGATAGCCATTAGACAAGACAGTCGCGACGTCTTTCCAAAGCAGAGGTAAAAGTGTAGACTCTTAAGGATTTCCATACTTGTGATAAACAGCTATCTAGCGCTCCTTAGTTTCCAACGCTACCTTAATTGATGCTCATTCTTAAGGAATACTATTTACACAGTTTAAATTGAATACTTAAGTTTGAAAGAATGAAACCGTTGTTTACAAATTAACGACCATACACTGACTATTGATGAAACCTACACGATTTCAATCTCAAGTTTAAGGTAACTTTAACGTAAAATCAAAAACTTTTGAGAGTTGACTTCTACATAGGACGAGTGCATTAGTTGGATCTGAAGCGTTACCAAAATTTAAACGCCTAATCAAAAATTAGGTTGGACTTCTAAAGCACTGCGTAACTGAAATTTAATATTTCATACACATAGTTCCCTTTATTATCGTAAAGAGAGCAAGAACAAAGATTGGTGCAGAATAATATGAATTCATTTTATTTCGTTAGGTTCTCATCAGCTGCTTACAACCTAAATTATTTGAAAATCAACGTCATTACAGACATTGACATATTTATACATAAGAGTGTGATTAAGGATCAATACATGTGTATGATGATCTAGCAAGCAAAGATTCAGATAGAGTTAATGAGGTCATAAAATATTTGATTCGAATAAATAAATAAAGTTTGAGAGAGAAAGTTCCAGAACATTGAAATAGTGATTAGAACTCATGAAAATAGATTAATGGTAATAAAGAAAATATGAATTGAAATCAGTCAGTTATGTATGATGTAATTTAAAAGAGTGGGAGTAATGACTCAATAAATAAATAGAGAAATAAATGAATAAAAGGGGTTGTTGTTACCAGGGTAAAGAAAGATTTATTACTGTCTCTTTTTGTGTACATAGATCTGGTTTTAAACGTTTGATTGTTATAGCTTCGGCAAACTTCAAAAGGTTGGAGCTTGATTGTTTGTTAATCATCTTGAAGGACTTCAGTATGCCAAAGAAGAAAGGATGTTACAGTTCAACTTTCAGTTTATAAGAAAGACACATGGAATGGTAGTAATCTCAATTTCAATAGCTTTTGTCCAATCAGTTACAAAAAGGCACTGGTCAAAACACTGTTTCACAGAACAGAAAGAATATGTACTTCCGATACACTAGAAGAGGAAGTTATGAATGTTAAAAAATGTTTAAAGAATAACGGATACCCACTTAAATTTATTGAGAAATATGGCAAAAGTGAAAATAAAAAACCCAAAGAAATTACAGCAAATAAAAAGCCTATTTTTATTAAACTTCAATTCAAACGTGACGATGTCACAGGATCAATCAATATGAGACTAAAAACTGCACTGACAAGAACTTATCCTGCAGCGAAATTCATTGTCCTGTCCAAAACAACGCGTTCTTTGACACAATCAAAGATCGACAGGTATCTCTTTCATGTTACCACCAACTGTGTATACAAATTTACATGTATCTGCCAAAGCAGTTACATTGGTAGAACAGAAAGGAGAGCCTACGTCCGATTCAAAGAACATATTCCGAAAAGTTTAAGACTAAATGGATTAAAAGAAACCAGCAGTGCCACTACAAGACATCTCCTTGACACAGGACATGAAGTTGATATACGTAAGTCCTTCAAGATGATTAACAAACAATCAAGCTCCAACCTTTTGAAATTCGCTGAAGCGTTAGCAATCAAACGCTTAAAACCAGATCTATGTATACAAAAAGAGACAGCAATAAATCTTTCTTTACCCTGGTAACAATAACCCCCACTCTTTCTATTAATTTGCTCCTATTTATTTATTTATTACGTCATTATTGCAACTCTTTCTGAAATATAAATTACATCATACATAAATGATTGATTTCAATTCATATTTTCTTTATTACCATTAATCTATTTTCATGAGTTCTAATCACTATTTCAATGTTCTGGAACTTTCTCTCTCAAACTTTATTTATTTATTCGAATCAAACATTTTATGAGCTCATTAACTCTATCTGAATCTTTGCTTGCTAGATCATCATACACATGTATTGATCCTTAATCACACTCTTATGTATAAATATGTCATTATCTGTAATAACGTTGATTTTCAAATAATTTAGGTTGTAAGCAGCTGATGAGAACCTAACGAAATAAAATGAATTCATATTATTCTGCACCAATCTTTGTTCTTGCTCTCTTTAAAATGAAATTTAATAAATGGACATTTTACTGTATAATCTATTCAATTAATAAAATGATTTGAATATGATGAATATTTTTTAATTCGTGTTGTAGTGTCAGTTATTATGCCAAGCCCATATACCTTATTCTAGCTTCCGGACATCCCATTTTATTCATTCTACTTGAGTCATATTTTGACCATGTTAATTACACGCTTATTAGCCTTGACTGTTTTTCTATGAGCGTATATGTGTGTGCCCTTCTTATCCTATTAATCACATGTCTGTAGCTTTATTTTGTCTGACTATAAATATTGAGTAACGCTTGACTAAAATGGAGTTGGCTTCCGAGCCATCTTCCATACGTGTCATTTTGCTTTGCTATGTTTCATTCGCTTCATGCACAAAATATATGTATTCTCAAGTCAATTCTCGTTATTCGACTTACTTAATTCTGTTATTGGATAATGCGATTTAAGTCGACGATGATATACGAGAATCAGCGATAGCAAACATTCGTACGCTCAAAATGGAGTCAGATCAACGGGCCACTAAAGTGTCTGTAGACTAATATATTATTTTTGTAAATGAAGTGTTGGAAAACTGGATGTCTCACTGATATGTATATGAATAGTGTATTCAATAATGGTTTTCAGTATGATGTGATGATGAGCATTCGAGCGAAAAAATTTCTAGTTATAATGGTATCTCAAAAAAAGATTTTAAATCTCCGATGGATACAATCATCACCTGAACAAAATTCAACAAGTGGATATTAATACAATAAATTCGACTAGAAACCTAGTCAGTAAATTTGGTTAGCTACTCAGAAATACAAAACAAATGCATTTATAAAAAATAACTTTGATTTAACATGATAAAGGCTTCTTTATGGTTGCTCCAACTAGACATGCAACGCATGGTTCATAAATGTATTTACTTTATTATTATATTAAGTTCCAATAGAGAAAATCATTATCAAGATCATATTAACTATGAAACTTACAGGAAATGAGAAATTCTTTTTAGGCCAACGTGAAGGGTTGAAATTTGGACCTAAGCCTTCAACGACATTTGATCCGTTTATTGCTTTCAATGCTGCAACCAACTCCCAGTTTGTCCTCAAGGGTAATTCTTGTCCACTCAAATTCAATAGATATTTCCACATATAGTCTGTGTTTTTCATTAATTTGTCCGCACATACAAGAAACGCTTCAAGTAAGGAATAATATCCCCACTGAATATTTATACTTTCTGTCCGGTTCAACACCATAACATTTAAACCAAAACATCGGGCCAACTCTAACACTTGATCATAAAATTCAATTGGGGATTTAGAATCTACATGAATACAATACAAATTATGTGGTCTGTATATCAGTCGAAGTAGACGTGATACTTGTTTAATGTTTTGATGAACAGATAAACTGAATGCTAAAGGAAATAGTTTTTCTTCAATTGAGGATTGAATGACATGACCATGGAACAATTTAAACTCTTCACATTTTTGAGGATTTGATAAATACATAGAGCTTTGGTCCGGATTTGACTGAATACTTTCAAAAACTCCATTATTGGGATTCACACCTTTGGTTGTGAGCAAATATTCACAAATTCTTTTAACTTCACTGTATTTTTCTGCCTGAAACTGATTTAAATCATTGCTGACTCCAATGAACGAATATAGTAGACAATACAGCATGAGGACTGACAAAATTAGCAAACAATTCAATATTAACCTTTTCATTTGAATAGAATGATGAGATCGTATTGTGAACGTTTTTATTTCATATGAAAACATCATTTATCCAGTTATTGAATATACACATTCAACTATCTGACTTTATCTGAAAGAGAAACCAGAATATGAGAATGACTCAAATTGAATGTTATTTAAATACGAGAAGAAAATATCCATAAATACTTCTGAAACCAATAATTAGACAATTGACAGGTATACCATAAAAAAGTGGTATGATTACACACAAATTTTGAGTTTAAAAGAGAACACTCACAGACAGGTTCATCTAAATGTTTGACCTCAATAAATCGTAGTATAATTGTGCTTATTTGACATTTACGGATTCACAATAATCTGTGCATCACTTAAAAATGTTACTCACTACACCTACTGACATATGTATATATAATTTAATTGGATGAATAAAGTACTGTTTAGAAGTGCTATCGTAGTGGACGGAAACTCAAATACGGCAAACCAGTTTATTATTTTATACAAAAGCACACAATGCATTTGTAGAATATGAAGTAGATACATTAAATACATCATTTGTACACCATCATCCTCTCAATCCTGTTGCTATTCCGAAGGTTCTCTTCTTTCCATCCTCTTCTCTCTATTTCAGTCTTCTTCTGGTTAACATTTTAACTCCAATTCCTACTAAACACTACTTATATCTGTCCGCATAAGTAGCGTACAACACACTATATATATTCTCTAATTCATAGATTATTTATTAGTACACAATGTTAATACAATCCAAACGGAAACTGTTGGATTAGGCTTGTTAGTTATGCTTTTGGAAAGTGTGTATATTCATATATTTCAGTTTTCAGCAAATTTTAGAATAACATATCAGTTTAAATTGTAGACTTAATAAATCACAAACTTTCTTAGTGTATATGGTACCTTTTCCCATTTATAAATAACAATTAACTAATTAACGACATATCTCTTACTATTTTGATAAACATGTTTCAGATGTTATGATTTGTAATTTTTTTCACACTGTTTTTCCATAATTTTCTTATAAGAATTGTGGCAGTCGGTATTCGTCCTGATAACCGCCCGACGGTGTATAAATCAGAGGACGAATATGAAGCATTCATTACGTTTATTGTTACACCACACACAGATCACCAAAACCACAGGCACACGAAGCAAGAATGATATGTGAGTGCCGAAGAGCAAACGAACGAGTGAGCGAGTGAGTCAATGAACATTATTAAAATGTACACATATATAAACTGTTCTACGCGATTCCTCCATTCGATGAAATGATTATTGTATGATAAATACTAATGAATAACAATCCCTTTCCTGAATTAAATCTTTTGAACATGATAGTCGAATAGCATAGATCTTTTATGTTAATTTAGATATTAGACACAGGAACATTCTAGACTGTATTGGAATATTTTTCAGATACATCTATTATTTTCAAATTACAAAATGTAAGGTGGTTATGGTACATTTGTCAATAGTGTGTTTTATATTTTATTTGTAATTCAGAATAATCAGGAAGGGGGTTTTGTGGAGATTGTAGTAATTTAGTACTTGAACTCATGAGTCAATTAAAGCTAGACCACCTCCATGGAAAACCTGGAAGTACTGGACGGCCGTCTCGTCATAGTATGGGACTCCTCAACATCACATTAGAGTTTGATCACTAACATACTGTCACCATTCTCAGTGATGTTCGTTTTAACTTTTATTACCCATCTTATTTGTAGCATAATCTATTTAAGTAATTTAGTAATCTAATATTATTTTTACATCTGTCTTACTAATTACTCATTATTATTTCTAAAAACAACGTCAAATGTTCATATTTCGATTTCAATCTTACTCAACTGCTATTCTTGTTCTTAAGTAATCACTTGTAATAAGTAAACGATTATGTAACGTTGTTTCAGCCTTAATTTTATATTTGTTAAACTAATAGTATTGAGATACATTGGTAAATTGATTCTTCACTATTTATTTAGTATTGATTTTTCACTAGATCTTAAAACCTATATATCAGTGTAGAGCGATTAGAATGAACAAATTGAAGCGAACTATTTCTCCACTCAACTTTTAACGGTTCCTATTATGCTTATATCTCATTTTTGTACTAAATCTGCGGGTAGAGAATTGTAGTTAAAAAGGTAAATAAGTATCTTGTCTTTCAGATGTACACATACAATTTCAATTCATTGAATTTATAGAAAAAATAAGGGGCTTAGTACAATTAAAATAATTACAAAATAGTGTAACTAGTAGAAATTTAAAGAGAGAAATCTATATAATATCCACTAAACAGGAAAAATACTCCTTGTAGATGCTAATATACTACTCATTAAATCAAAAGTAGTAATAATATAAATAAGACAATAATCTTCAAAAAATGATTTAGTAAATATTTAAAATTTACGTAAGTTGACTCGCCAAGCTCAAGTTGGTTTGTATTTAGTAGCTGGGGTTGTCGATTGACAACAGATAAACGCCTTCTATCAGGCTGGAACTCCAGATCACAAAGTGACTGCACTATATGTAAATTCAACTCTGAATACTGACACTTCAAAGCACAGATATCCACGAACAATTAACTTGTTCTTCGGATAAATAAGTTATTGTCCATTTAAATTCCATTACTTGTTAAATAGCTTGTTGCTGTTTGAAGCGTTATGCACTCTACTTGATTTGAAAATTAACTTTGAGATGCAGGTGTATCCAGAGGAATAGTCCTGAATAGGAGGAAACCAGTGTACTTACTTACTTACTTACTTACTTACGCCTGTTACTCCTCGTCAAGGAGCATAGGCGACCCACCGGATCTCTACACTTAACCCTGTCCTGAGCAATCCTTTCCAGCTCCTTCCAGTTGTTATACATCTTTTTCATATCTGCTTCTATTATCCGACGTAATGTGTTCTTAGGCCTTCCTCCTTTCCGCTTCTCTTCAGGATTCCAGGTTAGGGCTTGTCTCGTGACGCAGTTTGATGATTTGCGTACTGTATGTCCTATCCATTTCCATCGTCTTTTCCTAATTTCTTCTTCAGCTGGAAGCTGGTTTGTTCTCTTCCACAAAAGGCTGTTGCTGATGGTATCCGGCCAATGGATGTTGAGTATCTTGAGTAGACAGCTATTTATACATACTTGTACTTTCTTGATTGTGGTTGTTGTAGTTCTCCATGTTTCAGCTCCATACAGTAGAACTGACTTGACGTTCGTATTGAAGATTCTGAATCTGATATTGGTTGAAAGTTGTTTTGAGTTCCATATGTTCTTCAATTGTAGGAATGCGACCCTTGCTTTGCCAATCCTCGCCTTTACGTCTGCATCTGAACCTCCTTGTTCATCGATGATGCTTCCCAGGTACGTGAAGGATTCTACATCTTCCAGAGTTTCGCCGTCAAGAGTGATTGGCTTGCTGTTCTTCGTTTTGATTTGCGAATCTTTCTCTATTTTCGTTTCTCTTTCCCAGTCCATGTCGTCCCATGATATGTTCATATCCAGTGTTGTCTATTCCATCTTTGGCATTTAGATCTCCCATCAGAATGGTGAGGTCGTTTCTTGTGCAATACTAGCCACGGTCCAAAAAAAAATTTTAGAGTGTATCCAAAAAATAGATTTTAATTTTAAGTAACTAAGCTGCGATGCACTAGATGGCTGTTTTATTCCTAGTATAGGACTTCTCAACAGTGTTCATCCACGATCCCACCATGTGGGATTCAAACCCAAGATCTACCATTCTCACACGCGAACGCTTATCCACTAGACCACTGATCAGGCATCTAAAGGTGTTAATGCCCGGGTTCGAATCCTGCTGGGCAGGGTCGTGGATGTGCAGTGCTGAGAAGTCCCATAATAAGACGAAAGGAGACAAAACCTGACTCACACGTCTGCGTTGTGTCTCCTGGATAGCAGGACGGATGACCCATGAACTAACATTTCATACAATTACTTCTATATGATGTTAAATACTTAATTATTATCAGTTAAAATTACAGTTAGATAATATCAACTTTTCATCTGATAAACTAACCTGAGCTTCTCCATGGTAGTAATAAGAACAAAATATTAAAAGGCAAGTGCTACCTAATTTCTAACCAAACACTTTGTTATGTCCTTAAGTTGCGGTCGATTTTTACCCTGTGCTAATTGTTGTGTCCTTGACTGGAAAATTAGAGAGCAGCGTACTTATCGATCGATTACAGTGACACGTAAACACGTACGGACAGCCTAGAGTCTCGATTGGTCCCACTTCCCTGTCTAGCCCAGCCAGTTGAGTCCAGAACACAAGTCACAACCTCTGAGATATGAATCATTATATTAAAAACACAATTGTATGAACGAAGAATATTCTTTTCAATAATTTCTCATCAGGTTCTACAATTATAAATCCAGATTAATAATCCATAAAATTGGCCAGATTTAAGGCAAAATACATCATCATTTGGAAATTGTAATATGTGAATCAGGAATTGTTGTTTGTTATATAAATGAAATTGTTAATGTTGGGGCTGACTAATATGAAGTGTTAACTTGAATCAGTTTATAAGCGAAATGAAATTGTGAGATAAATAATGATCAGAATAAATATGGTCTCCCTCTCTCTCTTACCCCATGTTGACCATATTTATTCAGATCATTATTTATCTCACAATTTCATTTCGCTTATAGACTGATTCAAGTTAACACTTCATATTAGTCAGCCCCAACATTAACAATTTCATTTATATAACAAACAACAATTCCTGATTCACATATTACAATTTCCAAATGATTATGTATTTTGCCTTAAATCTGGCCAATTTTATGGATTATTAATCTGGATTTATAATTGTAGAACCTGATGAGAAATTATTGAAAAGAATATTCTTCGTTCATACAATTGTGTTTTTAATATAATGGGAATTTTTCAGCAATTAGAATCATTATATTTCAAACATATTTTGTTTATATACCAATCAAGC